GGGCGGGCGGGCGGACGGACGGACGGACGGACGGACGGACGGACGGACGGACGGACGGACGGACGGACGGACGGACAAACGGACAGACGGATGGACAGATGGTACTTCTTGGTGCAGAAGTAGTAGAACATTGACAGTTGCAGCCACGGATGCTCACAAGCTTTGGAGGGCGGAGAGGCCCGTGAGATACTTGAGGTAGTTCCCCATGTTGCCGTCCAGCAGGTTCTTATCCATCGATCTTCAAGAAAAAAGCATGTGGGGGAACGATACAGTGGAATACACAGCTCTTAGGATGGAACAAGGGCGAGGATCAGTATTATCTTAAGGGAGCGAAAAGCAGTACAAACGATGGACCACTCACAATAAGGTGAGTGTAGAAAGTAGGGTCAAGTCGCTGGGGAGGTCCTTGCGTACGATTAAGAGCGAAGACAAATCCCTGTCAGCAACAGCACACAAATCCGATTGGAGAGAGGCACACACATACACACACCTCCTCCCCCTCCCACACAAACACACATGCACACACACACACACACACACAAACACACACACACACACACATACACACACACACACACACATACACACACACAATTAGGCCGTGGTTATCGATACGAAATGCTACTAGTACTAGTAGCAGCTTACTACTAATGATTAGCACACGCTACTAGTACTAGTAGCAGCTTACTACTAATGATTAGCACACTGCCCGGCTTACATTGTAGTCACGTCCCCGTCACTGGAGCAGGAGATTCTGTCCCAATCAGTACTCGCGATTGTCATAGGAAGGACAACGCAGTCGGGGCTAGTAGCGAGTGACCACTTGGTGAACGTCAAACCCAGCGCGGATTTGATGGCCAACATCACAAAACAAGGCCCCCTAATTTGGGCCAAAATTGGTCCAAATTTGGTCCTGTGGGACTAAAATTGGCCCAAATTTGGTCCTTTTGGGAGACCAAATTTGGACTAGTTGGAAGGTTGGATATTGGCCAAAATCAGGGTTTAAAACAAGGTAGGAATCATGTCTGAATTAGGTATCTTCTTAGGCAAAGTACAAGCCAAATCCAGGAAGAGATTTGTCCTATTTTGCTCCATATGCACACCAATTTCGTTCCACTTATGAAGGATCAAGCACCGGTTGAAGACCAAATTTGCCATTAATTAAACACTATTACAAAGCTAATATATCCAAATAGCTGCCCTACACATTACAATGCAACCATCGCCTACAATGCCGCCACTCCCATTATGGAGCTTTCGCATTCGTCACCCCCCCTTTCATGGCTGCTCACCCCGCACCCCACCCTTCGTCATACCGCTCTTGTCCCCCCCTCTACTGCCCATCCCTCTATCCCAACCTCTTGACGGCTGCCCTACACTTGCAATTGCTTCAAGCTTGTGGCTGCCACACATCCATCACTGGGTGCTGCCCCGTCTTTCCTGCTGCTACACATATGCTGCTACTCCTCACTTGGTGCTGCTCCATCTTTGTTGCTGCCACACTCGTGTTGCTATCCGTCACCCTTTGCTGCCCAACTTTTGCTACTGCCATACACAAGCTGCCACACTAATGATACTACCCCTAGCTGCTGCATCTCTATTGCCGCCACACATGGTACTACCCCTCACTTGCTGCTCCATCTCTGCTGCTGCCCCACATGGTACAACCCCTCACTTGCTGCTCCATTTCTGCTGCTGCCCCACATGGTACTACCCCTCACTTGCTGCTCCATCCCTGCTGCTGCCCCACATGGTACTACCCTTCACTTGCTGCTCCATCCCTGCTGCTGCCCCACATGGTACTACCCCTCACTTGCTGCTCCATCCCTGCTGCTGCCACACACATGCTGCTATCACACACCAGTTGCTGCCCCATGTGTCATGCTGACACTCGCATTTTGCTACCCCTCAGTTGTTGCTGCCCTCTGTTTGCTGCTGCCGCACACATGCTGTCGCCACTCAGTGGCTGCCCCATTATTGCTGCCACCACACTTGCTGAGCGCAAAATTTTATTACTGCCCCACACTGGCTGCTGCCCCAAGTTTACTGCTGCCCCACGCTTACTGCTGCTCCAAGTCTACTGCTGCCGCACGCTTACTGTTTCCCCAAGTCCACTGCTGCCCCACGCTTACTGTTTCCCCAAGTCCACTGCTGCCCGACGCTTACTGCTGCCCCACATTTACTGCGGCCCATCACTTATTACTGGCCCACACCTGCACCACGTTTCCTGCTGCCTTGATCCATGGTCATTCAAACCATTTGGATAGTTGGAGTGTTCTGCACAATCAAATAACATCTACGTAAGTCCACTTGATATCATGCACATATGGTTTCACATCAAAAGCTTTGACATACCTGCAACCTTGCAACGAAAGGTCCAAAGTCGCTGGCATCGATCAAGATGTGGTTCGGAAAGACGAACACATCCATGCCGCTATCGTACGCCACTCCATGCTCCATCACCGCGAACTCCACCCACTCCTTGCAACGGGTGCACATCGCTTCGTAGTTGAGACGGTTTTCTTCAGGCTTGCCCGACAACCTTCGCTCCGGGGACTGATCCAAAAATGGCCATTCCACCTGATGGAGGGAAAACAAGAGTCAGAAGAGGGTAGAACAATAAATCCCTTAACCGTTTAGGGTTTGAGGGTCTATGGCCATCTTGCCTCATAACGGCGCAAAAACCCTTCACCGTCATGGCAATGGTGGAGGTGAAATATGGAATGGTGAAATGAGGGATGATACTTATAGGGAATGGTTGACAAGATTGGTTGACAGAAAGTAGGGTCTGAGAGTCATTAGCCAGTGAAGAGGGAAATAGAAGTGTTCGCACCTTCATCCAACAGTTTCAAGCCATGCACAGTACTTGCATAGTGATAATGAAGGGTTTATTGGGGAAAACGGAGGGTGAAAAGGGAAGAACTGGGAAGCCGAGGGGAAGGAGATTGGACTGAAAAATGTATAGAAAAGAGAATTTTTAAGGTCATCCACCCACTGATTCAAGGGTCTACTAACTTGGTTCTAAGGTTACGGGTTCAAACTCGTAGCAACTGCAAGTAATTGACTACAACAACCCATACATATCCGCTACCACTTACAGCGTACAGGATCCAGGCAATCTGTCGAATCTTCAGCTTGTCCAGCACTACTCCGCGCCGCGACAATGCGTGACGCACCGACACTGCAAAAATCAGCGTTGCAAATGGCTTCCCGTATTCATCGCAGTGCCAACCAAGACCCCAACGACCTGCCACACAAGCACGCTCAAACACACGCACACATATACACATACAAATCGTTGACAACAAATTTGCATACCACGTAACATCAAGTCTAACTAATGTATATTATGAATAGAGAATATAACACTTCACACCACAAAACGTACCACTCATGTAGCGTGCCTTGAATGCGTCCGTTTTGATAAATTGGGTCGGCCGTAGCAGCTCCGGAAGAAGCTTACTGATGTAGCACGAATTGCACTCCAGACCTAGTGCAGTCAGAGCTTGCTTGCGCATCGTGCCATTGATGGTGGTCCGGGTGGTTGAAATAAGAGCATAGAACACACCGCGTGTTCCTGGATCATTGTGCATGAAAAGCTTTTGGAGTGCGACTAAAACTTCCGGCGACACAAACTCCTTGAACCCCACTTCCAAGGCTTCCTCCACAGTGGGATAAAATTGAATCAACTTTGCTTCAATGTTGTAACACATGAAAGTCACCACACTCTTGCAAAGCTCCTGTGGTTTAGGTGTTGGAACGGGGTGGAGAGGGTGGGGAGGGGAGGGGGGCAGGGGAGGAGAAGAGGGGGTGAGGGTTCAGGGTTTGGGAGAAGGGGAGAGCAGGATGGTAGAGCAGGGGAGGGATGTTACTCACCAAAATTCCTGAGGGTGGGCGAGAGGGCTTAGGGATACCAAAGGGGGTGAGTGAAGGGGGGTGGAAATTTCATAGACTTAAGGTTCACCTCGCCAACACCCTACCAGGTTTAGTAGTTGGGGGTTTGGGTTTGGGGCGTTTGGGTTGGGGTTTGGAGTGGGTGTGGGGAGGGAGGGTTTAGAGAGGGTTATGCAAGAGGGTGATTATGCTTCAGGGTTCTAGGATTATCCTCAGGAAAAGCCTGCGGGCGGAAAGGGGAGGGTTCAGGAAGGACTCAGGTGGTGTGTGGATGAGGAGGGGTGTTTCAACATTTCGGTTATCCTGGGTGGAGGGTGGGCAAAGGGAAGAAGGGTTTGGAGGGGGGGGAGGTAGGAGGGGGGAGGGGGGAGTGATGATTTAGAGTTGAAGGTCATACATGCCCAAGTCCTGAAGGTGGGGGGGAGGGTTTAAATGGGCCAGGGTGGGTGAACGGAGGGGGAAAGGGGTTTCAAGGCCTTAGGGTCATCCTCATCCTCAGGTCTTCAGGACCATTGTCACCAAAACCCATGAGTTGAAGGATCAGGGGTGGATGGTGGGTTGGGGGAGGGAGTGCTTAGATAAGCGAGTTGGGCGTGAAGGGTATGGGTGGAGGGATGGAGTGATTTCAGGGTTTGCGGTCATCCACACCAACATCCTGGGGGTTTGTGAGTTGGGTTAGAAAAGGAAGTGGCAAGGTGCAGTATGTGATGTTCCTTAAGGTTTAGGGTATCGCTCAAGACTTCGTAGGACCCTGGTGGGATTGCTGGGGGGGAGGGAGAAGAGGATTTGAGATGGTGAGGATGGGATGGCCACCGTTAAGGCATCCCTAGATGACAGATCAACAAATGTTAACATGGATACTTACCTCGAAATCTGAGACCCCTTTCGCAACCACGTCCTTTGCAATCGCGAACGGACTGGCAGGAGCAGATTTTGCCGGTGCTGGTTTGGCAGGATTGGTGAGCGATGAAGAGGCAGGAGCATCATCCGCTCCGGCCTCCGCATTGGCATCGGTCATCATCGCAATCATGGTGCCTCCACCACCTAATTTCTTGTTTATAGCAGTCAGTAATCGCGCTTCCAATGCCACCAGGTCCGTCTTAGAGGCCGCCCCCTTCATTCGCTTTAGCTGACTCTCCGAGCAAAGCACTGCGGCTCCTTCCTTGCACGACCCAAACTCCACCCATGTGCTGGCACGTGCAGTGCATGTACCCGATGGACCTGCCCCTAAATTGGAAGGTAGAGCCGAATACCGAAACACAAGTAGAAAATATGAGACCACAAATATAACAAGGTTTAGGGTAGCAAGGGAAGGCAGGCAGCAAGGGAAGCCAAGCACCCAACCTTTAACCCCCCCTCCATCACCCTGCTTCCCACCCCTGCACTATCTCCCCCTACACCCTAAACCCAACATCTACACCCCCCATAGGGTTTACCATTACCCCTAAACCCTAAACCCCCCATCTCCCCCCCCCTCTCTACCATTACCCCTAAACCCTAAACCCGAACTCTCCCACCCCCTACCCCCTCAACCTTCCCCCCTAAACCCTAAACCCTACCACTTCCAACCCCCCTTCCACAACAATCACCCTTAAACCCTCCCCCAGTTTCCACCCATCCCCCTGAATCCTCAAACCCCAAACCTCCCACCCACCGCCCTTCTACCATACCTGATGTTCCCTTAGCCTTGGCACTCCCTTCAGCTTGTTGCTTAGGTGTTAAGCTCTTCCCCGAATCACCAGCCTCGTCAACCTTTTCTTTCCCTTTTGAGGAATTCGCTCCCGTCCCCCCTGCCTTGCCTCCTCCCGTCCCACCGGCCTTGCCTCCACCCGTCCCCCTTGCGTTGCCGCCTCGCGTCCCTCCTGCCTTGCCTCCTCCCGTCTCTCCTGCCTTGCCGCCTCCCGTCCCTCCTGCCTTGCCTCCTCCCGTCCCTCCTGCCTTGCCTCCTCCCGTCCCTCCTGCCTTGCCTCCTCCCGTCCCTCCTGCCTTGCCTCCTCGGGTCCCTCCTGCCTTGCCTCCTCCCGTTCCCCCTGCCTTGCTTCCTCCCGCCCCCCCTCCTTTGGCTCCTCCGGTTCCCCCTGCCTTGCCTCCTCCCGGTCCCTTTGCCTCAGGACCTCCCGTTCCCCATGCCTTGCCCCCGCCCCTTCCCCCTGCCTTATCTCCGCCCATTCCCCCTGCATAGCCACCTCCCACCCCCCCTGCCTTGCCTCCGCCCCTCCCACCTGCCTTGTTTCCGCCCGTTCTCCCTGCCTTGCTACCTCCCATCCCCCCTGCCTGGCTTGTGCTCATCCCCCCTGCCCTGCCTCCGCCCATTTCCCCGCCCTTGCCTCCGCCCATTCCCTCTGCCTTGCCTCCGCTCATTCCCCCAGCCTTGCATCTGCCCACCCCGTCCGCCTTAACTCCGCCCATCACCTCTGCCTTCACTCCTCCCATCCCCTCTGCCTTGACTCCGCCCATCCCCCCTCCCTCTTGTCTTTGAGATGTTCCCTTACCTCCGTTCGCCCCCTTCTCGTTCTTCCCTTCCTTTCTTGCTCCCTTCCCGCACTTGTTTCCCACCTCCCTGCCCGGGACATGAAGGGTCATTGTACCCTCACCCTTGTCCTTGCAGAACACAGACACATTAGGGTCATCCAACCAGGCCAACACACCCCCCCCCCCCGACTTTTTCACCACTCCCCCCTCTCGAAATGCACCCTTATCCAACTCTTGAACCGCCGCAGCACCTCCCCCCTTCTTTTCACAGCGAGCAGCATGCTTCCTCTCTTTCTTTTTCGGTTGCTCAGGACCCTTTCCAGAGTGCGTCGTCAACTTTTGTCCATCCGCCATTACGACCTTGTCGCCGAGCATTGAAATTGGTAACATCCGCCCCATTTGTCTGGCCCTTTCCTCAGCCACAGCCTCCTCTTCACGGCTGTTGGGATCCATGTCGCACTCGGCATCGTTGTTACCATGTTCTGCCTCAGTCTCATGCTCGCCTCTCTCCTGCTGTTCCTCCTCCCGTTCTCCCTGATTCTCCTGTTCCTCCTCCCATTCCTCCTCATGTTCCTCCTCATGTTCCTCCTTGTGTTCCTCCTCCTGTTCCTCCTCCTGCTCCTCCTCATCATCCTCCTCATGTTCCTCCTCCTGTTCCTCCTCATCTTCCTCCTCAACTTCCTTCTCCTCATCTTCCTCCTCCTGTTCATCCTCCTCCTGTTCCTCGTCATCAACCTCCTCCCCATACTCATCGTTAGCATCCTCGTCAGAATCTTCCTCGTCACCATCCTCGTTCATAGCCTCCTCATCATCCTCCACGTCGCGAGCATCTTCGTCCTCAGAGTCGCTTGGGCCGTCCGGTCCCTCGTCATCGTTTTCTAAACCATGAGCTTCATCAGTTGAAGCTCCCAGCCCGGTTGTATCATCATGCCAGGTCGAAGAGTCCCGCGCGGTGGTCTCTCCTCCATCGCCCGAATCACGCTCTGGTGCGTCTTCACCGGATTGAGACTCTTCTTCCCCAATGCGCACCCTCTTGCGCCTCTTCCGCCCAGACTTTCTCAGAGTGTTGGCTCCCTCCCGAGAGTTGTCCACATGCTCGCCTTGGTTGTCCTCTTCCACCGCATCTCGCCCTCTTGTGCTTGGTTTGAACCCTGTCATGAGACGTCCACAAGACCACCAGGTTATATGCCGGAAGATACTAGGCGATGCTGTAATCCCCGATGCGAAAATACGAGTAGAACTGGCCTATTGAGAGGGATCACAGCTCCCAAACAAAGAGTTAAATGTTTCGATGATAGAATGCAAGGCATTGCCCTTCCAGTTATGTACATCCACCCCATCCCTTAGCTCACAGTGAAGTTCCAAAGCAGCTCAAGCCACTGCGTACATGCGCTGCTAGCCAGTCAACGACGCGCCATACGATCACGAAATCGTGCAGCGCGATTCCGCATGACTGGTGACTTCCCGTTCAGAGCGGAGATGCAGGATAGGTAGGCCGTGACTATATGCATTACTCAGCGACACGGTTTGAGTGGACATCGTCACTGGGGCTTCGCCGTGCCTTGTTCCGTGGAAAACGGCATAGCTGCAGTCACGGGTAGCGTGACTGCATGCAAGGGAGCCTAACCCGAGCTGTCTCAGCAAAGGTAACGAGAGCGTCAGGTTCCCTACGTGCTTGGAACTCGAGCTGTCTCAGCAAAGGTAACGTGAGCTTTAGGTTCCCTACGTGCTTGGAGCTGTCCCAGCTAAGGTAAACGCGAGCTTCAGGTTCTCTACGTGCCTGGAACTGGAGCTGTCTCAGCAGAGGTAACGCGAGCTCCAGCTTCCCTACGTGCCTGTAGTCCTGACCTCATTGTTTGCTGCTGGACGGCACAACGTTGCATCCTCGAGCTGCGAGGAAGGATGTGATTGAGGCCGTGTTTGGAAACTGTAGGATGACTTTCCATCTTTGTGGTAACAACTTCTTTCCACCACGGTTTGTGGTGTTGTTTGACACGACACCTACTGGCGGACCTCACGCAAGTGAACACATCCAGAAATGATTCCAGAGTCCAGCCCCCAGAACACAACGAACGTGATTTTCTGACGGACCATTTTGTCTCACAGTGCCACTCTCAACTGTATAGTATTAGGACTGGCAGCATTGACATGTGATTCTTGTTTGAGAAGGACAGGATCTTCCTGAAACTTCTTCACTTGTTGCTGAAGTGTGGAAATTTATCAACAGGTATGTTTTGTCGTATCGCGTCAGTCAGGTTTGTGTAGTTTCTGGCCCACTTGGTTATCTCTGTTGTCTTTCATCGCCCACACATACAGTAAGAGGATGGTCTTTCCTCGCTAGCAAAAATATTTCCGCCCCCAGACTGGTTCCACGTGTAGAGGCCACCCCCCAAACTGGCGGAAATATGCCTCTCTTCGATCCTTTTTTTCCGCTGTCGTCACTTTCTTTTGGCCTGGCAAAACATTTCACTAGAATTTCTGTCGAGGGCAAAAACGGTACAGCCTACAGCTCTGACTGTGGTTCGGCTGAACTGTGCTTGACGTCAAAATCGATGGCAGTTTTGCCACCTGTCATTCAACACTCAAGACAAAGGGGCTTCTTCCATACTCCACCCTTGCACCCACCGCTGCCAGCATAGACAAAGCGACTAGCAGCACTGTTTGAATTTTTTGTTGCGTTGTAAGTTCAGTTTTTACCAAAATCAAAGTTGACGCGACCAGGGCAAAGTAGGTCGAGCAAATTTACGGAAGTGTAGACATTCAGCTGGGAAAGCTCAGTCCCGTGATCACTATGGCTGTAACAGAAATTTTTGTGTCGAACAGTACCACCCCATCTAGCTCAGCAAACAGTCACGTTTCTACTGACATGGCATGGTGGGAGAGTGCAAGAACTGTTCATCCACAGTGACGTAACCGAAGGACATCAATGCAGTGAATTCTGGCATCGCAACTGCTCAGCTAAAGTACAGCAACTCAACTGTAGCACAAAGCACACAGTAACACAAAATGTCGGCGTCCTGCCAGCAAGGGAGCGATCCCAAATCAGCCAACACACAAGAACATATGACGTGCGCGTCCTACATGACAACGCGACGATTTCAAATCTGCCAGCACATACAAACCTATACAGTACCCCAGGACTTCATTTTGTCAGACCTGCGACTGTGGGAGAGTCGCTCGACTGTTGATTGACAGTGCTGTCACGGAATGACAGCAATGCCAGCTAATTCTGCTTGTTTACCTGTTCATTGACACCACCACACGCGGCATCAAGCCGAGTAATCCAAGCCTTACTTGCCTCGTACAGCATGTACATCCCCGATAGCGACCGTCGTCACAAGGTGGTCGCGAAGAGTGGTCGTATGTAACAAATGTCAATTTTCCAACTTTGCAAGCTTACACGGTCTTCTCATTTCAGATTTTGTTCATAGACATGCAGAATTGGAGGCCACAAAAATGGCTAAGTGTTGGCAAAAATACTAGTTCGTTGGTTTCTTTCATCATGCGATAGCTTGCAGTACCCTCTACAGAACTAGAACAGAAATAATTGCCAAACACACAGATATGGGGTTTTTTTTGGCAAAAATTCCTGTCTTATGGGGTAGCTTTGAGTGCTCATATCCACTTGAATTGTGGTCCAAATCAGCAGTTTAATAGCTCAATCTTCATCCCTTGACATCCTCTACTAGTTAAGAACTTGAAGTTGTTTTGGGTAAAAATCATCAAAATCAACATAACCATTGAAGCTCCTATCACTTGACAGCTCATTCTTCGGCAATCGTGGATAGTTGTAAATTCCTACCACGTTTTGTGTGTGTGTTATGTAGTATGTGTTACTTTTATCACCTACTATGCTCCCTGTCTGCCTTGTTGGAGTTTGGTTGCCTCAAGAACCTGCCTCATTTTTTGTCAAAGTCGCCTCCTTTCGCTTGAAGATTTGCAAACCCTTTGTCCGTGGTCCAAATGATCCGATTGTTTAAGAGGCGTATCATTCCAACATTGGAAGATCCTCTACCAAATTTCAGATCAATCCAAGAACCAGAGATAGGTGCTTGACGATGGTTTCTGCAGAACTACCTGCGATGGGATTCTGATGCAAAACACAAACCAAACGTTGGAATTAGTGTGTGAAACTTGGTGAGCCGCCTCATCACACTAATTCCAGATCCCCCTTCCATTTTCAAGTCATTCCAACAAGGTTTGATAGGCCTTTCATGCTTTGAACTGAAAGATAGGCCTGAATATTCCGCAGAACTACCTGCGATGGGATTCTGATGCAAAACACAAACCAAACGTTGGAATTAGTGTGTGAAACTTGGTGGGCAGCCTCATCACACTAATTCCAGATCCCCCTTTTATTTTCAAGTCATTCCAACAAGGTTTGATAGGCCTTTCATGCTTTGAACAGAAAGATAGGCCTGAATATTCCGCAGAACTACCTGCGATGGGATTCTGATGCAAAACACAAACCAAACGTTGGAATCAGTGTGTGAAACTTGGTGGGAAACCTCATCACACTAATTCCAGATCCCCCTCCCATTTTCAAGTCATTCCAACAAGGTTTGATAGGCCTTTCATGCTTTGAACAGAAAGATAGGCCTGAATATTCCGCAGAACTACCTGCGATGGGATTCTGATGCAAAACACAAACCAAACGTTGGAATCAGTGTGTGAAACTTGGTGGGAAACCTCATCACACTAATTCCAGATCCCCCTCTCATTTTCAAGTCATTCCAACAAGGTTTGATAGGCCTTTCATGCTTTGAACTGAAAGATAGGCCTGAATATTCCGCAGAACTACCTGCGATGGGATTCTGATGCAAAACACAAACCAAACGTTGGAATTAGTGTGTGAAACTTGGTGGGCAGCCTCAATCACACTAATTCCAGGTCCCCTTCCCATTTTCAAGTCATTCTAACAAGGTTTGATAGGCCTTTCGTGCATTGTTTTGAAAGATAGGCGTGAATTTTATGCAGATCTGCCTTCGGTGGGATTTTGATGCTAAACAAAAACCAAACGTTGTCCGAATGGCTTCAAAACTTGATGGTGGCCTTTTTATAACATGATAGATGGAATGATGCAACAGATGGCGCGTGCAAAAACCGTCAGGACCTCTGTCGACAACGACGAACCTCCGCAGCCTATCCTTGCGCCGTTTGCATCAGCGCTCTGTTCCGCGCTGCGCCAACGCCTCCGACGTTGTCCGAAGAGCCTCGTACCAGGATGGTGGCCTTGTTATAGGATGCTTGATGGAATGATGCCACCACATGCTCGTGCGAAAACCGTCAGGACCTCTGTCGACAACGACGAACCTCCGCAGCCTATCCCTGCACCGTTTGCATCAGCTCTCGGTTCCGCGCAGCGTCAACGCCTCCGACGATGTCCGAATGGCCTCATATGGTGATGGTAGCCTTGTTATAACATGCTTGAGGGAATGATGCAACCAAACACGCGTGCGAATATCATCGGGACTTCCGTCTACAACGACGTACCTCTACGGCCTATCCTTGCACCGTTACGACATCCGTCTGTTCTGCGCAGCGTCAACGCCTCCGACGATGTCCGAATGGCCTCATATGGTGATGGTAGCCTTGTTATAACATGCTTGAGGGAATGATGCAACCAAACACGCGTGCGAATATCATGGGGACTTCCGTCTACAACGACGAACCTCTACGGCCTATCCTTGCACCATTTCCGGTAGCCGTCTGTTCTGCGCAGCGGCAACGCCTCCGATGATGTCCGAATGGCCTCATATGTTGATGGTAGCCTTGTTATAACATGCTTGAGGGAATGATGCAACCAAACACGCAAGCGAGAATCAGAAGTACCTTAGAAGACATGCATAGTCATTCCTCGCCTGGTTTATGATGTGATTTGGTTATTAAACATCTGTAGCAGTTCGACGAGAACAGGGGTAACGCTTTGTAGTTCTATGTTGTTGTGATATGACATCCTCCAATGCCCTCGTAATGATAAATGCAGCAACACTCTGGTTTATCACAACCAACAGTTGGTCATAGCATTTAGGGTTATAACTGCAGGCCAATCTCAAAGCAGCTAGTATAGAGTACTGTCTAGGGTTTTCGAATGTTCAGTTTTGAAAACCTAATTCGAAGCTGAGTGTCTTGGCAACCAGCGTTGCAAAAGTCACTTTCGACTTAGGTCATTCCCGCCATGGGTTTCCCACGCTGTAACGAGCGCGACCCAACAGGGGTGGGCTGATTGTTGATGCATCGTCGATCAATGCGCCTAGGGTGTTGTCACTTGTATCTATCCCTCTGACGTCGTAGCGCTACGCCTCAAGATTGCCTTTCATGTGAGCTACCAAGGCTCTTAAACAGCAATGCAGTCACAATCCGTTGCACGCGTCATTTCAGCTCGTATTAGGACGGCCTAGGGGATGGACTGTCCCACCTTCGTCAGGTGTAGATTCTGTAGTGCTAAGTTTCCGAACACGCAAGCATTGGGGAGACATTTAGCAGGCAACCAGGAGTGCTATGAGGGGCACTATAGTGCACCCGCCCCTGCCCGTTTTGATAGGCGTGGTGGAGTGGTTTTTTACATCCCATGTCGCGGACGTGGTTCCCCAGACGGCGGCGCCACCGACGACTCTGGTGATGATGGAGCGCCATCTGAAAATGGTGGCAGCACTTCACCAAACGTTCTCCCGAGTGTCGACCGGGGCACCGAAGAGATGGACGGCGGAGGTACGGAGGAGATGGAATGCGAGCGCACGGAGGAGAGTGAGGGTGCGGGTTCAGACGGAGAGGGCACCCAATCCACATCCATGGTTGCTGATACCTCCTGCTCCAGTGGCATCGTGGTATCGGACGCAGGTGCTACTCCTTCTGGACCGCGAGTCAACTGGCATCCCGCCCTGCTGAAGCTGCTGGAATATGTGGACACCGCCAATGGGGGAATGAGCCTATCGAAAATGGACAAGGGCAAACTAATACAACTGCTTCTTGTTCCCGAGTTGGCGCACGTGCTAGTTGCTGAGAATATGCGGACTTGCCGAGACCTCGAGCGCCTGCAGCTCGAATATATCGCTGGCACCGGAAGAGGATTTCTCACAACAACATTCGTCATCGAGGGCTACCCGCCACAAGTCCTCTACCACAGAGACATCATGCGGGTGAGACATATGTCACCGTTCCTTTGCTCTACTATTCCTGTTTCAATGATGCTAGTTCTCTCATGTCATACTGCTTATGTGCCATTGATCTACTACCCTGTTTTGTGTAATGTTGTTCTCATACACTACTGCTAGTGTTCACTTTCTCTCATACTCTGTTATGTGTTTGGTTGCGGTCTCATACCCTACCATATGTGTGCCCTTACTCTCCAGCCCTCGTAACAATGCTGACTCGATCTCATTCCCTACTGCTTTTGTTCTCCTACCGGTCACTTGTATTGTAGCGCTCTCATACCTTACAACTTTAGTTCTCTTTGTCTCCGACCCACACTTCCTATGCTGTTTCGCACTCACACATAACTGCATGTGTTAAAATGCTCTCCAACTGACCCTCTTTCTTATGATTTTGTGCTCATATACCTTTTTGCATGTGTTCTAGTGCTCTACAACCCTGTCGTCTATGCAGATTTGCCCACGCACCTAACTAATTGTGTTCAATTGCTCTCTCTTCAATGATGTTTTCTAAGCTGATTTGGTCCCATACCTCACTCCTCTCCTTCCCTTCCTCTCCAACCCTTTTTCATATGCTGTTTTGCTCTCACACTTAAACTGCTTGTTTCCAATTGCCCTCCAACCAACCTGTTGTTTTCTAAGTTGTTTTGCTTCATACCTCACAGCTTGTGTTCCCTTCCTCTCCCATCCTGTCGTCTATGCCGCTTTGCACTCATACCTAGCTGCTTGTGTTCTATTGCTTCCCAACCAACCTAGTTTTCTATGGTTGTTTGCTGTCATGCCTTACTGTATGTGTTCCCTTCATCTTCGGGCCAGTCTGTAATGCCGTTTTGCTCTCATACCTCTCTGGTTTTGTTACCTTACAGTACCACCCTATTCTAACTACTGTTTACGTTCCCTTGTTCTACAACCGTGTGATCTGTGTCCACTATTATTTGCCTGCAGGAACTGGCACGAATGTTTGGCCATCAACGCAATGCTAAGGACTTCCGTTTCAGGCCGAAAGTCGTAGTAGACGGCGAAACAAAAGAGAGAGTCTACACCACGGCTGAAACTGGCACATGGTGGAATGAAGCGCAGGTACTGACATTTGTGGACCCCCGATCATGTTCCTGGCGACCCATTGTAGTTTGTGCATATGTTTTCCAAATGAAAGCTGCCGTATTTTCACACGTACAGCCCTGAGGCGTGTCACCTCGTAGTCTTTGTGAATTGTCACAACTGTTACCTCTCGTAATTTGTTGCAGGCTTTTGTGGGACCAGAGGTGGTTATTGCGGCCTTGCTGTTCTACAGTGACGTGACACACCTGAGCAACAACGGGCGTAAGAAGGCGCACCCAGTAATGATGACTCTCGCCAACATTCCATTGCCCAAACGGTGGGGGAAAGCGGGGCATTCGCTGCTGGCGCTATTGCCCATCCCCCCCAAGGGAATGCCGTCTCGAGTGAAGACGGAGCTCTTCAACAAATGCATTGCCAAGATAATGGAGCCTATTCGACAGGCAAAAGAAAGGTTTGCTCTCTCGCCAATGCTAGACCCCCCCACCCCCACCACTTGCTGACACGAAGTATGCTGCCCCCCCCCCACCCCCCCTCTTCCACCCCCCCAACCCTGGCTCACTAGACCACTGCTGGATCCCCCCCCCCCCCTCCCCCCCTTGCTCACTCCCACAATGCTGAATTCCCTCCCCCCCCCCCCCTACCCCCTTGCTCACTCGCACAATGCTGAAATCCCTACCATGCCCGCTCGCTCGCACAATGCTGAATCCCTCCCTACCTTGCCAACTCGCATCATGCTGTTTTTTCCCGTTTGTCATCTTCACGATTAGAAGTACCTCCCATGGTCACTTCGCTACTGGTCATTGGCCCCATCCTCAGTTACCTGCTGCTTATGTCCCCTCATGTTCAACTCTACCTCCACCCGAACGCAGAGGGGTAATGCTAGAGGATGCGATTGGCGATTTGCACAAAGTGATCCCCATGTTTTACGGCTGGGCGTGTGACTACCCTGAGTCAGGGAAAATCACCGGCACGCTATCCGGGCAGGGTTGCAGCAAGCCATGCAGCCTTTGCTATGTGGACAAGGTGTGGTGCCGCACTTTCATGCAAACTTGCGAACGCTGCCTAGTGTAGACTATTTTATCAATCAAGCTTTGCTCAGCCCTTTCTCGACGTGACCAATGCACCTGCATTTTCCTTTGACGACGGCATGGCACATGCATTAGTCACCCTGGTGCCTTGTTTGTTCGTTCCCTATGATGTACCTCTTAAACCGTCCTCCCCATACCCTTCGTGCTTTGATATCGGTGCTTTGTGTAAATATTGCCAGGAGAACCTGTCATCTGTCCACCTCGAGAACAACATGCGCACGCCGGAGCTGCAACAATTGATTCGAGATCAACCCCTACCAACGACTCGTCCACGTGCGGAATCGAGCTTGAAGCGTTTCTCCACTTTTGATGTTGACGTACGTTGATGCGACGCTGCTTGTTTTCTCAACACACTGCTCATATCCCCACCGCTCATATCCCCACCGCTCATATCCCCACCGCTCATATCCCCACCGCTCATATCCCCACCGCCCATATCCCCACCGCTCATATCCCCACCGCTCATATCCCCACCGCTCATATCCCTTTGACACCCTGAATGTTGCCCGGGGGATGACAATAAAGGGTTATTGTACTAGTACCCTAAACCAGAGCACCTAAACCCTGGAAAATTACAGCTTTCACCTATGTTGTTTCTCGTGTTGTCTTTATCCTATCCCGTAGTGTGCGCTTTGGATGTGGACCGTCGAGGGAACGCTCTGGGGCAATCCGTACTTGGCAGTGATGCCGGACATAATGCACCAAGCTGACCTCGGATTGCTGGACCACATCGTGAGAAGCATTCGGATGCTGATTCCTGCATCGCTACCCACTCTGGACCAGTGAGTAGTTTTGTGTTTTGTTTTAGTTGGTTCAATGGAAACCAATAATAGCACCTTGAATAGTGACTTTGGTCCACTTACAAATCATACTGCCTGTTTGTGGTGCAGGCGGCTGAAAGATCTCAGGGGAGTGACCCGAATCAGCAGTATGCGGCTGCCCTCCAATGAGTATTTCGTGTCGGGTGCTCAGACTGCAGCATTTGAACACAGAGCTGTGATGCAGGTGGGTAATGTGACTCTCTTGGGTGTCCAACGCCTGGGATTTGCAATGAGTGATGTCCATGCATGCCTCGGTTTCTGACCTTGAACACACTCGATGCCCTCTATGTTCCCGTATGCTTCTTTTTCCTGCCCCAGATTCTCATCTTCTTGGTGGCAGACAAACTGGGTGCCTCTCAGTTAGAGGCAATCAGAGCATATCTCACGTGGTACCTTGCCTGCTACGCTCCTTCTCACACCGAGGAATCTTTGAGAGCGCTTCAAGAGTATTCTGAAAGGTACGTTAATACTAAACCGCCACCATGCATGGTTGACATATGTGTGGGGCCTGGTGGTGACTTTCTAGGCATCTGATTTTATGTTTTATGTATGGTAGCCTGGTACGTCTGATCTGTTCTTTCGAAACATGATGTTTGCTTTCAGCGGTAGCTACTCGTTTACTCCCCTCTTTACATCCGTAATGTGCTATGTCCCCCCTGTGTACCTCCCCGTTGTGCCTTATCCCTTTTGTGATTTATCCCCCGAATAAGCCGCCCCATTACGCCATATCCCACTAGTTTACCTACCCTATGTGCCTTACCCCCCCTGGTTACCTAACCATTGTGCCTTTTCCCCCTGGTTACCTCCCCAGTGTGCCACATCCTCTTTGTTTACCTCCCATTGTGCCTTGTCCCCCCGTGTTTACCCACCCATTGAGCCTTATCCCCCCTGTTTACCTCCCATTGTGACTTATCCCCACTGTGCACCTCCCCAAAGTGCCTCATCCCCCCTGTTTACCTCTCCAATGTGCCATATTCCCCCTGTTTACCTCCCATTGTGACTTATCCCCACTGTGCACCTCCCCAAAGTGCCTCATCCCCCCTGTTTACCTCTCCAATGGGCCATATTCCCCCTGTTTACCTCCCATTGTGACTTATCCCCACTGTGCACCTCCCCAAAGTGCCTCATCCCCCCTGTTTACCTCTCCAATGGGCCATATTCCCCCTGTTTACCTCCCATTGTGACTTATCCCCACTGTGCACCTCCCCAAAGTGCCTCATCCCCCCTGTTTACCTCTCCAATGTGCCATATTCCCCCTGTTTACCTCCCATTGTGACTTATCCCCACTGTGCACCTCCCCAAAGTGCCTCATCCCCCCTGTTTACCTCTCCAATGGGCCATATTCCCCCTGTTTACCTCCCATTGTGACTTATCCCCACTGTGCACCTCCCCAAAGTGCCTCATCCCCCCTGTTTACCTCTCCAATGTGCCATATTCCCCCTGTTTACCTCCCATTGTGACTTATCCCCACTGTGCACCTCCCCAAAGTGCCTCATCCCCCCTGTTTACCTCTCCAATGTGCCATATTCCCCCTGTTTACCTCCCATTGTGACTTATCCCCACTGTGCACCTCCCCAAAGTGCCTCATCCCCCCTGTTTACCTCTCCAATGTGCCATATTCCCCCTGTTTACCTCCCATTGTGACTTATCCCCACTGTGCACCTCCCCAAAGTGCCTCATCCCCCCTGTTTACCTCTCCAATGTGCCATATTCCCCCCTGTTTACCTCCCATTGTGACTTATCCCCACTGTGCACCTCCCCAAAGTGCCTCATCCCCCCTGTTTACCTCTCCAATGTGCCATATTCCCCCCTGTTTACCTCCCATTGTGACTTATCCCCACTGTGCACCTCCCCAAAGTGCCTCATCCCCCCTGTTTACCTCTCCAATGTGCCATATAACCTTGGTTGCTAAACCCAATTTGCCTTTTCCCCCCTGTTTACCTCCCCAAAGCGTCTTATCAACCTGTTTACCTCCACTTGTACCTTATGCCCACGTGTGTACCTCCCATTGTGCCTTATCCCCCCCTGTTTACCTCCCATTGTGCCTTATCCCCCCTGTTTACCTCTCGAATGCGCCATATCCCCTTTGTTTACCTCCCAATTTGCCTTATCCCCCCCGTTTACCTCCCCAAAGTGTCTTATCAACCTGTTTACCTCCCCTTGTACCTTATGCCCACGTGTTTACCTCCCATTGTGCCTTATCCCCCCGCATTTACCTCCCATTTGTACCTTATCCACCCGTGTTTACCCCCCTTTGTCCCTTATCCCCCCTGTTTACCTCTCGAATGTGCCATATCCGCTTTGTTTACCTCCCAAATGCCTTATCCCCCCTGTTTACCTCCCCAAAGTGTCTTATGAACCCTGTTTACCTCCCCTTGTACCTAAACCCCACGTGTTTACCTCCCGTTGTACCTAAACCCCACGTGTTTACCTCCCCTTGTACCTAAACCCCACGTGATTACCTCCCCTTGTGCCTTATCCCCTCATGTTTACCTCCCCTTGTGCCTTATCCCCTCGTGTTTACCTCCCCTTGTGCCATATCCCCTTTGTTTAACTCCCATTGAGCCTTATTCCCCCTAATGTACCTCTCCAATGTGCCATGTCCCTTTGTTTATCTCCCATTGTGACTTATCCCTCCTGTGTACATCCCATTGTGACTTGTCCCCCCCTTTTCCTCCCAACACCCATTGTTCCCGTCCCCCTTGCTCCCATCCTTGTTGCTTCCATCCCAACTGCTCGCATCCCCGCAGCTCCTCCTATTCCCACTTCTCCCACTCCCACTGCTCACGTCCCCACGGCTCATATCCCCACTGCTCGCATCCCCGCAGCTCCCCCTATTCCCACTTCTCCCATTCCCACTGCTCACGTCCTCACTGCTCATATCCCCACTGCTCCCATCCCCACTGCTACCATCCCCACTACTCCCGTCCCCCTTGCTCCCGTACACACCCCGTACTTCCATCCCCACTGCTCCCATCCCCACTGCTCCCATCCCCACTGCTCCCATCCCCACTACTCCCATCCCCACTGCTCGCATCCCCACTGCTCGCATCCCCACTGCTCCCATTCCTAATGCTCTCATTCCCACTGCGCACATCCACATTGGTCCCATCCTCGTTGGTCCCATCCCTATTGCTCCCCTCCCCACTACTCCCGTTCCCATTCTGCATAACCGGCAATTCTCCTGTCTACTGCACCTGACAACTCACCTTTTTAACTTAAATCTGACCTCCCCTTTTTACCTCTCTGCCTACTGCTCCCCCTACGCATCCGTTGCAGGCTTGTGGAGCTGCTGAAGCTAGCCTTCCCGAAGCAGGCTTCTGCGTGGAATCTTGTGAAGACTCATCTCATGACACACTTTGCTCAAGCAATTCGTCGTGCAGGATATGTGCATGAGTACAGCACAAACACCTTTGAGCACTTGCATGGGCCGATGCTCAAACAGGTGTATCGACGTTCAAACAAACGGAACGCAGACTCGCAGATCATGAAGCATCATGAAATGCGCCTGGATTTTGCACTCGTCGAGGAAAATGAGAATGCTCGACAGATGGCAATGCAAAAGGTACTGTAAAGCAACTCTTTCAGATTGCATGCTAGAATATATGGGTGGGTGTGTCGCTTACTTGTGCATAATATGTGCAGGCAATAGAAGAAGGGAGAAGGGTCATGACAAAAGACTCATACTCCTTGCAAGTCGATCCGACGGAGTTCCGATCACGAAATTGGTTTGCGCAAATGTGGGCGCAACAGCACGTCGAGGCTCACATTCAGTTCAAGAGTGCCCTTGCACGCCGGCAGCTGGCGCCAGCCACAGTTAGGGTGAGAATGAGATGTTGTTATAGGGGGGAACGTTGACTAACAAGGTATTGCACTAATATGTCGGTTTTATTGATGCAGGCCCACACGACTCTTGCGATCCCTGCAGCCGAAGACGTTGGTTTTGCTCGAACCGCTCATTTCGTCAAGGCAACGCCGAAGTCCCATGACAAGCCTTGGTTCTCAGATGTGGCAATCAAAGGGGAAACAAGAGAGGGGAGTGATGAGGAGTGGTATGGAAGACTCCTCTTGATTTTTCAGGCCAAGCATAGAGGGGTCACCCATGACTTGGCCTTTGTTAGGTATTGGTCTGCGGCAGGTGAAGACTCAAAAACCGGATGCAAGCGTCTGCAATGGACGCCTGGCACCTCCCAATATTCAGTCATTGACTGCGACTCGATAAAAAGGCAGGTGCAAGTCGTGAAGTCGTTCCACAGTGCGAACGCGTTTTATTTGAATAAGTACTTGTTGCTGTAGGTACTTGTAGGTACTTGAATAAATACTTCTTCAAGTCAGTAGTAAAGAGCACACAATGAATGATGCAGGCAATGTCAAAATATGTAATAATTGGTTAGCTAATTATGTTTGAGTATTAAATTATTTGTGTGTATGATTCTCTCATTGACTGCAGGCTTATTATACAAACCATTCAGTCAAAACAGAATCAGGCCAAAATTGGCCCGAAATCATTCCAAGGTGGGTCCACCGTTGTGGGGTCCGAGGCTCCCATCTGCACGCGCTGAAATGTGCCTGCATGATTTTGAAAAAAAATCGAGCGGCAATCTGTCCCTTCCTCGGAAAACTACTTTCAACCAAGTCAAACCCTAGACAGAACCAGAATTTGACCAAATTTTGGCCGACCTGGTTTCGCCGAGGCGCAATGTGGTTTGCGAGTCGGGTGGATGGCGCGAAACCAACCCAAAAATTGAGAAGCGAAGCATTTCGCAGGGGGTTGGGCGAAAATTTTTGCAGCACCCACGCAAACCCAACCTCGAAACCCAACTTCGACCCCTTTCCCCACATTCGAAGAAGGGCCTTTTTTGTGATGAACAGCGCTGACACTGCGAGATGGCGGCAGGTGGTGGGAGAATATCCGGGTAGTAGTAGTTATAATAGCTTGGCACTGGAGAGAATATCCAGTTTCATGCCATGGAAAGGATTTGTGCTAAAGTACTACTACCGTGACCACTGCCGTTACCGTGACGCATTGTGGCGCTTGCGACGTACAAAGGGTTTCATATGATTAGTAGTTAGTAGTAGGTACTAACAGCACGGTGCCAAACCTTGCGCTGACTTGATGGTGGCGCTTGCGTGGACCGTGACGCCGTGAAATTTGTTCCCCAGCTGACTACCGGCCGGCCAGGTGTCGCCGCTCGACAGCAGCAGTACGGCCATCATTACACTGGCAAGTCGCGCCGCCATAGCCCCTGTAGACTCTCTTACCGCCATTTGCCGCCGCCTGGCAGGCGTACTAGCATTCGTAAGAGATAATGGTACTAGCAATAGTCGTACTACCTCAATTGGAAACTTAGTAATTGTCGAGCGAGAGACTGTGGAGCATTACTACTCGATCCTCCCGTGACGCCTTCACGCCTTGGCACCGCTATCATTCTCTCTCCCCCTCGATCCCCCCATTCCCCCCCCCCCCCCCCCCCCCTTTCCCTTCCCCCTCCCCTCCCCCCAATTCCTCCGCACACTGCTGATTTGCCGTGAACCTTATCGATCTGGAAGGGTTCACGCACGCGTCGTGTGGTTGAAAACGCTGAAGCTGTGCTGTCCTTGATGTGCGCAACTGCACCTCCTAGTCTTGTTTACTGTTGCATTTCGCCCCGTGTGGTTCCTTGCACGCATGCGGATGGCGACTCGCAAGAAATGCTGTAATGTACTGACTTCATTACGGCTGGGCAGGCAGGATAGATACACCCGATTTGCGTTTTGTGCCGCGTGACAGATTGGGTAGTGAGTTCTTTTATTATGTTGCCGTGGTGTGATAATAGGGCAAATTCGTGGTCGTTTGACCTCCAAACATCTCACCAGCATGGGATAACTAGACATAATTCCACAAAGGAAACACTTCGTTCTGGCGATTTTGTTAAATGGACCTACAAGGGAGAGCCTCGACGTGAATATTTTCGGAATAGGAGCGCTTCGTGTCGTGATCGTGAGTGCACTTGCCCCATCAGCTGGGAAAATCCAGAAAATTCTTGACGAATCTCCCACTTGGTTCGGTCAAGTGTGAACAGCTCCTTGGCACTTGCATGCCACCTTTCTTGGGGTTCAGTTACTAGAACCAGCCCAAAAAAAAACAAATTGTACTGCTGCTTACGCTTTTCTGAAGGTAGCGAAACAGGAAATGAAGTGATCGCTGTGAAGTTTTAACTCGAAACAAGCTGAAGAAATTCGGGTAAAGTCACATCGCGCCCACATTATCCGTAGTGCGAACCACAAAATGATTTGGGGGGTCGTGCATCCTGCGAAATGCATGTGCATCCCACTTTCGGTTGTTACATATCGCATTGAGTAAACCAGTGACATATTTAACAGCAATCTAGTTGGAAAACAAATAGTTCATTATCATTGTTTTACAAATATACTGCATAGGAGTATATTATTCAAGTATCAAACTTCTGGACAGAACACCTGCATAAAAAAGAACATATATTCAAATGTGTTATATACCGTACCTCGTTTATGTACAAAATCGGTTTCAAAGACTCAATTATTTCTTCGCTTCTTCTCGTAAAGAATGGGAAGGAAAAAAACTCACTTACATATGTTGCTACGATATGGAATTGATAAATAATATTCATATAATAACGAACTCTTAACGCGAAGATGACTGTGGCAAACAGTTATCGAAGATGGTTGAAAACGAGATGAATTTGAAGTGCAAGCGCGGGAAGGCATTCAAACAGTTACCTCTTAAAGTTAGAGAGAGAGATGTGCAACAGAATGGTGTGACTAGTGTCGAGAGAGATACAAAAGCAACCCTAAAACATTTGTACTCCCTAACGTGCTACTCACTGTAGCCTAAGAACCTATAATAACATTTGACACACCCCCATAGGCTAAGTGAGGGGCATCAAAGCAAGCACGGTGAACCAACGGTCATAAGACCAGTCAATGCAAGAAGCAAGCTCAGGGTGGATCTCAAGGACACCACACAAATTCCGAGCACAAGCAAGCGGCCACAAGGCCAGTTCAAGAGTTCACTAGAATATATAACAGCAAAACAAAAAAAACAGAGGAAGCAATAAGTCCACAGCAACCTAGGACCTGCCTCAACAAGCCCCAACTGCACACAGAACCGGTGGTGATCACCAGGCGCCAAGGCCTTGGTGAAGAGGTCAGCATTGTTGGCCTCTGAGGCCACAAAGTCCAGCCGCACCTGGCCGCGTCGCTGTAGCTCATGCACGAGGAAATACCGAACGTCGATGTGCTTCACCCTAGTCTCCAGTCGAGGCTCGCGACACAAGAGAATCATGGCCTTGTTGTCAGCGAACAAGGTCGGAGCAGTGCGAGGCCGCTCACCAAGGTCAGCGAGCAAGAAGGTCAACCAGCGAAGCTCATGAGCAGCCATAGCACCAGCGTGGATCTCTGCCTCCGCACTGGACGAAGCCACCGACGACGACCGTGTGGACCTCCACGACACAGCCCCAGCTCCCAGACTGAAACAGTAACCCTGGGTCGAGCGCTGAGTCTCCACGTCGTCAGCGTAAGTAGAGTCACAGAGGCCAGTTAGCTCAACTGGCCGAGTCCCACCAAGTACCAGCCCCATGCCTGATGTAGTCGCCAGGTACTTCGCCACCCTCACAGCAGCCGTCCAGTGAACAAGACGGTGCCTCCCAGGTCCAACAAAGCGAGAGAGGACACTAAGAGGGTAGGCGAGGTCCGGGCGAGTACAGGTCATCAGGTACATGAGGCAGCCAACAAGCTCTGGGTAGGGACCACTGGGCTCAAAGGGCTCGTCGGGGAAGGGGCCGATGAGTCTGTGGTCTACAGCAAGAGGAGTGGGCTGTGTGGTGGAGAACTGAAACCCGAACCGCCGAAGGTCCTGCGGCACCATGTGTGACTGAGTCAGTGTGATGGTGCGAGCGGCTCTGTCCCTGGTGATCTGCAGGCCAAGGTAGTGCTGCAGCTCACCGAGGTCAGTGCACGTGTGTCTCTTCTACAGTTCGGACTTCACCTCCGCCAGTGCTGCCCTGTCAGCTGTAGCAAACACCAGGTCGTCGACGTAGACCAGGATAAAGAAGGGAGTGGAGCCGGCACGTACAAACAGTGACAGGTCAGCAAAACAAGGGCGAAACCCTAGGTCACAAAGCGTGGAGCGAAGAGTGTTGTGCCACTCACGGGGCGACTTGCGGAGACCGTAGACTGGTCTCCTCAGGCTCCACTGGGTCCCAGGAGGGAAAGTACCAGTAAAACCAGGATGACGGCACAGCCAGATCTCCTCGTGCAGTCGTCCTTAGAGAAAGGCAGTAGAGAAGTCGAGGGAGTGGAGCTCGTAGTCACGCTGTGTTGTTACGTGCAGTAACACCCGAAGTGTAGTCATCTTCGGGGTCGGAGCAAAGGTCTGAAAGAAGTCAACTCCCTCGCGCTGACTGAAGCCTCTCGCCACATAGCGCGCCTTGAACACCAGGGCTGATCCAGGCAGCCGCTTCACCTTGAAGAGCCACATGCCATCGACTACGTTCGCCCAAGGGGGGAGGGGGAACTGCGTCGACGTAGGTGCCTGTGGACTTCCAAGACGCCAACTCTGAGTCCATGGCCGCCTTCCACTGAGAGGCCCACGGCCCCGACAATGCCTCACGGTACGTGCGAGGAGTTGGTATGTCAAGGGCGTCGGGGTCTCCCTCAGGGGAAATCAGCATGACACAGAGAGTAGGAGAAGCGGCTGCCAGGTACTCCAGCTCAGAGTGCCTGTCCTCTAGGACGTCACAGCCAAGGGCAAACTCACCCCCGACGGACAGAGGACGGGTAGGCAGAGCGGGCACCACGCGAGTGCAGTAGTCAAGGCGGTTGGCGACGGCAAAGTCAGCAATAGCGGCAGTGAGAGCCGAGACAGACGACAGAGAGAAACGAGGGTCAGTGACAATAGTGGCTAGAACACGGGATACGACAGGGCGAACAACACGATAGTAGTCGGAGATAGGAGTAGGGGAGACATGAAGAGAAGACGGAGGAGGAGACGGGAGAACTGACACCGAAGGAGGAGAACGACGAAGAGAAGTACAAAGGAGGGCAGTGTGGAGGTCAGTAACAGGGGACGGGGGACGAGCACTCGAGGGACACGGACGGGAACGGTAGTGACGGACAACAGGAGGAGGAGACTGCGGCGGAGGGTAAGACCAGACCACCGGACGGTCGTCAGGAGGAGGAAACGTAGGACCAAACGCAGAGGGAGATGGAGAGTGGACAGGAGGAGAAGAGGAAAGACCAAGGGTCCGGAGGCCACTCACGGGCGGAAACAACTACCGCTCCAAAGGAAGCTGCTGCGGCTGCGGGGACAGCGGCGACTGCTGCTGCTGCCGCTGCAGTGGCTGTGGCGGCTGCTGCTGCTCCTGCTGCTGCTGCTGCTCCTGCCGCTGCTGCTGCTCTAGCAGGTCCGACTGCCGCAACTCCCGCCGCTCCCACACCAACAGCTCCTGCTCCTCGCGCGCACGTCGACATGCCGCCTGATAGCGCGTGTCGTGGTGGTGGGGAGGCGGAGTGCGCTCCGCAGACGTAGTGGCCCCAGCTCCAGTCTCCTCAGAACAAGCACCTCCAGTACCAGTGTCCACAGAGGGGGTGCGACCAGGGTCGGAGTCCCCAGCCCCAGCACCCCCTGCCCGAGCACCCCCAGTGCTAGGACCCTCAGCTCCAGCACCCCCAGAACTAGCACCTCCAGTGCCAGCACCTCCGGCTCCGGCACCCCCAAAACTAGAACCTCTAGTGCCAGCACCTCCAGCTCCAGCACCCCCAGAACTGACACCTACAGTGCCAGGACCTCCAGCTCCAGCACTCCCCGACCGAGCACCCCCAGACCGAGCACTGCCAGTGGCCGCACCTCCAGCTCCAACACCAACCGAGTCCACAGTAATCTGTCTCGGAAGTACCTGAAGGCTGCTGAGGGGACTATGAGGAGGACTGCGGGGAGGGAGACGCTACCTGACGCGCGACCGAGGGTAGAGGGGTAGCGTGAGACACACCTGATGGGGCAGGACCAGGGGGGAGTGGGGGTACCGTAGGAGCGGGAGCAGGGGGAAGAGAGGGTGCGAGGAAGAGGGGGGGAGGGGGAACCGGGAGACCTCTACAGGGGTAGCGAGTGTAGTAGGACACTGACTCGTCGAACCGGACGTCATGGGAGTCTAGGAACTGGTGGAGGGGCGGGTGGTAGAAGGACCAGTCGGCCGAGTCTACCGGGAAACCAAGGAAGACACAGGGGATGGCGCGAGCCGAGAGCTTGTCCGCAGAGGTGTCGCGGACCTGCGCAAGGCAGCCCCAGACTCGAAAGGCCGACCCGACACCAGGGGACCCGGTCCAAAGACTGGTCGGTGAAGCCTCCGGCCGCGAGACTCGCGGCTGGAGGTTCAGCTGGTGCGCGGTGTAGCGAACCGCGTAGGGCCACAGAAAATGGGGCACACGGGCATGAATCATGGACGTGCGGGCGATGTCCATGACCAAGCCAATGCGGCGCTCAGCAACCCCATTCTGATGTGGGGACTCCGGCAGCGTCCAGGACTGTACGATGCCCCGTTTGCCGCAGAATCCGGCATGAACGCCTGAGCGAAACTCACCCCCACGGTCGGAGTGGAGACAGGAGACACGACGACCACGAGTGCCCTCAGTGGCTAGAAGCCACCGGATCAGCGTAGAAGTCACCTCGGACTTCTTCGCGAGAGGAAACACCGTGGTGTACCTGGAGAAGTCGTCGACGACCACCAGAAAGTAGCGCTCCCTCTCAGGTCCCTGCGTAGGTGCAGGGCCCCAGACGTCCAAGTGGAGCGTCTGGAAGGGAGCAGCGGCCGGACGAAGGGAGGAGGATTGCGGAGTGGCATGAAGGCGGCCGGCGACACAAGGAGTGCACGGCGGTGCAGGAGAGGGAGGGAGCGACGGGAAGACTCTAGGGAGACCAGTGACAAGACGGTGATTAGCCATAGCGCGGAGGCGTGGGATCGACGGGTGGCCAAGACGGTGGTTCCACAGGACCGTCTGGTGGGTGAAAGACCGACACGAGCAAGACGCAGCGACCTGACCAAACGCGACAACCGGAGGAGACGCAGCGACCTGACCGGACTCAGCAACTGGTGGAGACACAGGAACTTGGGGGGACGCAGCGACCTGAGTGGACGTGGAAACCGGGGAGTGCTCGGTGTGGAGGACGTAGAGACCGGAGTGCGGCTCCCTAGTGAACGTGGCCAAAACTCTACCGGTGACAGCGTCCGTACGGACTGCAGTCCGCCCACCCCCCACAAAGGTAACGGTGATCCCCCTGTCCTGGAGGTATCCAACACCCACCAAGTTCCGAGTGAACGAGGGGATGTGGAGGCCATGCAAGACACCAGAGGGGACCACAGGGCACGGGAGGGTGGTAGAGCTGCGTGCCACGGCTGGTCCTGAGGAAGGATCAGCCAGGCTACCGGTACCGGAGCAAGGAGCGGTGTGAGTGTCGTGTGGTCGCGGAAGAAGCACTGCGACGCGCCAGAGTCCAACGTGAACGACAAGGACGCCACTGCCTGTGGTGAACCCGGTGTGGAGGCTATACAAGCACCTAGAGCTGAAACACAAGCACCTAGACTAGAGAGGCACAGGTCTATGCTAGCAGGAGGCAAGCAAGCTAACCTACGAACACGCGAGCACACAGATCCATCAGCACTATAGTCAACATCAGCATACAAAGCATACTGACGAGCATCGTCCATAGACAAATCAAAGACCGTAATTTTACGAGCTAACAGGCGAGCCCAGCGCGGATTGGACGCCTCAGGGCCCCAGCGGGCACGGTAGAGGTCGTCGAGGCGACGGAAGCACCTCGCGGCAGAGTGGTCGTCGCGGCCGCAGACACAGGGGCTGCCTGGTCCGGTGAGGCACTAGTAGTCACAGGGGCCGGTGTCACGGCGAGCGGGGCGAGGGGCCCAGCTGGAACCGCTGCTGCTGCGGCCGGTGCTCCCTGGTCCCCCCGTACCCCACTGCGGCGGGGGGCCCCAATGCTGCTGCGGACCCCACTGCAGTGGGGGCCCCCAAGGCTGGAACTGCTGCGGTGCCTGCTGCTGCCACTGTCCCTACTGCTGCTGCTGTCTCTGCTGCGGTTGGTGCTGCTGTGGCTGCTGCTGCTGAGGTCCGACTCCCCCACCGGGCAGAACACCGCCAGTAGGCGGGCCTGTCGTTCCTGCACCTCCTCCAAGGCTCCCTCCTGGTGTACCACCGTCGCCACCGCCGCCGCCACCACCATCGCTCCCAGGTCCACCGCCACCACCTCCACCGCCGCCTCCACATCCCTTCCCGCCCTTCGTGCCACTCTTGCTCCGTTTCTGCCAGTCAGCGGCAAGGACGGCGGCCGTCTCCTCAGATACCGACACAGCAGCAGAAGTGCGGGTAGTAGTGAAAGTGGGAAGCTGAGGGGCGGCACACCCCGCAAAAAGACGGAGGGGCACTGCGTCAGTGGCGGAGGCAACGGAGAGGAGGTTACTCTCGATCTTCCCGAGAGTGGTCTCAAGGAGATTGATAGTAAGCTCAGTGGGGTGCTTCTGGAGAAGCGCGTCGCGAGCAGTGGCAAGGCGGTCAGGGAGGCGGGTGACTAACCAGTGCACAGTGAGCCACATGGGGGGGGGGGGGGAGCAACAAGAAGCAGTGCGTCGGTACAGGCTGCACGGAAACCGGCGTCAAGCGAGCGGAGGTGAGTCACTAGGTCGGAAACAGTGGCAAACGAGCCTAGGTCGGGAAACACAAACGGCATGAGGAGGCGACTGAGGGAGGCAGAGGAAGGGGTGGAATAGCAGGCAACAATAGCATCCCAAACCCCCTGTGCTATCTCCACCTGGTCAAAGTGGGCGGCCTCAGTCGGGGGGAGAAGTTCCGTCAGCGTGAGAGCGGCGGCAGCGTCATGAGAGAGCCACACGTCCCGGGCCAGGACCCGACGGTCGTACTCCGCCTGGCAGTAGGAGTCGGCTCCGAGGCGGTCGGCAGGGCGGCGGGGGACGCGGGGGCCTTGAGGGCACCAGACGCGTGGGCCCACAGTGTGGCGCCGTCCTGACGCTGGCTGGTGAGGAAGTGCGTGGTCTGGCGCTGCCAGGTACCGAACTCGATTGGGCGTCCCTCCGCATCAAAACGAAGGCGACGGGACTCCATAACGAAGGCAATGCTAGAGGCGGCTGGAGCACGGTGAAGGCGGAGCTAAGAACGAGGCGGGAATCCTAGGAGCACCAGGAGTGGCAAGGTGTGACAACGGCGGAGCGAGAGGCTAGGAGCACTGAGCGACCTAGTCTAGGCGTGAAACGGTGGATCTCCAGCTCCAAGCGCTAGAGGCGAGGTACTAGTGGCTAAACTGCGCTAACCTAAGCGGCCGGCGAGAGAAAGAAGCTGCCAGCCACTGAGTGATGGACCAATGTCAGTAGAGCTGGGGAGTGCCACGCGCACCAGGCAGTGGTGGGGCTAGGGCGCGTGCCAAGGGTGGGGAGGAGGGCGCGACGGTGGGGAAAGGGCGGGGAGGGCGGTTTTGACGGTGGGAACGGGCGGAAACGGCGGTTTTGGCGGTGGGAACGGGCGGGTGGAGGGCTCAATGGTGGGAAATGGGCGGGAAGGAGGTCGCGACGGTGGGAAGGGGCGGGGCGGAGGTCGCGACGGTGGGGAAGGGGCGGGGAGCCGTGAGCTAAGCGTGACGGGCTAGGCGCTGGCCTGGGCGACGGGCTAGACGCGGGCCTGGGCGACGGGCTAGGCGCGGGCCTGGGCGACGGGCTAGGCGCGGGCCTGGGCGACGGGCGAGGTGCGGGCCTGGGCGACGGGCTAGGCGCGGGCCTGGGCGACGGGCTAGGCGCGGAGGTCCGCGACGGCGCGGGCTAGGGGCTCGGAGGGCGCTGTCGCGCGGAGGAGGAGAGCGCGGAGGGCGCGGAGGGCACGGAGGGCGCGGAGGGCGCGTTTGAGAGGGCACGGAGGGCGCGTTTGAGAGGGCGCGGAGGGTGCGGAGGGCGCGTTTGAGAGGGCGCGAAGGGCGCGATTTGGAGGGCACGGAGGGCGCGGAGGGTGCGGAGGGCGCGTTTGAGAGGGCGCGAAGGGCGCGATTTGGTGGGGCTAGGGCGCGTGCAACGGGAGGCTAGAGCGTGGAGGGCGTTAGAGGGCGAGTTAGGCTAGGATACTCTACCTACCCGTGATACCATCTTGAAGTTAGAGAGAGAGATGTGCAACGGAATGGTGAGACTAGTGTCGAGAGAGATACAAAAGCAACCCTAAAACATTTGTACTCCCTAGTGTGCTACTCACTGTAGCCTAAGAACCTATATAACATTTGACATTACCATGGCGCGTATTATTACCGAACCGCACAGTTGGCTTTCCCGATCTATATTAGCCATAAGGGAAATGTACTAGTTTAGAGTATACGGCTAGCTAGAACTTTTCGTATTCCACTAAATTCATATATAAACCCTTTTTATCGCATTGTAATAATCACTTCTGTCGAGATTCAAAACTCCTTT